GGAGGAGCCCGCGGCAGGGATGCTGCGGAGGAGATCCCTTCCCTGGGCTGAAAGGTGGACCCGAGGGCCAGCCCTCACACTCTGCGGAGGCAAAACCCCCTCCCCAGAGGCGACAACTAGCACGGTCAGTCAGGAAGCTTCAAGTCGTCTAGACCACTGAACAAACACTCTGTGTGTGGCAGAGGTGGAAGATGAAGTTAAAGGGATGTAGACTGGGCCAGCGCCATGGCTCACTTGGTTAATCCTCCACCTGCGGCACCGGCATCCCATATGGGCACCGGGTTCTAGTCCCAGTTGCTCCTCTTCTAGGCCAGCTCTCTGCTGTGGCCCGGGAGTGTAGTGGAGGATGCCCCAAGTGCTTGGGCCCCTGCAGCCACGTGGGAGACCAGGGGGAGGCACCTGGCTCCTGGCTTCAGGTCAGCGCAGCGCCAGCTGTGGCGGCCATTTGGGGAGTGAACCAATGGAAGGAAGACCTTTCTCTCTGTCTCTCTCTCTCACTGTCTTAACTCTATCTGTCAAATAAATAAATAAAAAGAGATGTAGACCAAGCCTTATAGACCTAATGAAGGAGTTTGGACATGATGATCCTTGGATATCAGTTGTTTATTGTGTATAGCAAACCACACTGCCGTTTAGTGGTTTAAAACAGGAACTGCTTATTTGCTCAGAAATCTGTGGGCTCATAAATTGGACTGGGCTGTCCTTTCTATGATCACTCACGTCGCTGCAGTCCTTCGATGGCTCAGCCAGGACTGGATAGTCTTACTCACATATCTGGCATTTGGTGACAGCTATTGGATGGACCGTGTCTCTCAAAGAGAGAAGCCTGGTGGTCTTCCTATAGTGCATCGTTCCAAGAGGAAGATAATAGAAACTGCAAGGCCTTTTGGGACTTAAACCTAGATATCCCATAATGTCATTTTCCCTATTTTCTGTTGGTTAAAACAAGTCAGAAGACCAGCCCCAGTAGAAGAAGCTGCAAAGAATTTGAGGTCATTTTTAATCAATCACACACTGCGATGATGATGATGGCTTGAAGCAAGTGGACAGCATTTTGTATTTAGGAACATTTGGGAGGCAGAACTGAGACGTCTTGGGAATCATTCTCCAACAAGGAAAAAAAAAACCCAAGAAATTACAAAAGACTCCCAGATCTTGGGGTTGCATAGTTGGTGAATGGTAGCACTCAGCACTGAGAGAGAAAAAGAGGAGAAACAGGTTTAGAGGGAAGAGGATATTTCCAGTGTGAGTCACATCAAGAAGGAGGCGTCTGGAGCTAGGTGGGGCTGGGTGGGAGGCAGGTGGATATACAGGTCTGGCTCTGGGAGAGCGCTTCCTGCTGACCCCAGCTGGGGAGGCTCAGGTGCCTTAAGCCTCGAGCCCCTCCCTGGAGGCTGTCTCCCCAGAGCAGGAACACCTGAGGGCAGGGACCTGGCAAGCATGTAGCTTCCCGGAACCTAGCCCAGTGCCCCATGACAAAGCAGTTAAGTCTACCCTGGTGTGCCTTGCCAGCCTGTAATAGGGAAGAGGGATTAACTTTGCAGAGAGAGCCCTTAGCTCTGAATTTAGGTCAATATTGCAAGGGGCAAAGAGGCAGATCCCAGCTCCCTGCCAAGAGGGAATCTCCCCAAAACAAGCCATGGACTCGGAAAGTAATGAGTCCATCATCATGGAGGCAGCGGCAGCAAGGGCTGGAGGAAGCCATCAGCGGTGCTGTGGAGGGGATGCCCTTGCCCTGCCGCCTGCCAGGGATGGGAAGGGGTGAGGGGTGGAAGATACAGACACTGGCCAACCCTGATATTCTTTTGTTTGCTTGTTTGTTTTTATTTCCAACCCTGATATTCTTTTGTTTGCTTGTTTGTTTTTATTTCCAACCCTGATATTCCGTGAAGGCAAGCTTCTCTTGCCACCCCCACTCCCCACACAAGCACCCAAATTTCAGAAACTTCACAAATTCTCCTTGAAGAAAGTGTTTCTGGGAGACAGAGCAGAACCACAGGAGGTGCAAAAGAGATATTGGCTTGTCATTCATTCATTCATTCATTCAACAAGCTCCGACTACATACTAAAACCAGGGCTGTGTACCAGGAATACGGAGAGGAATTGACTTTGGAGGCGATGTCACTGCCACCTTAAAAACTGTGCAGCAGCTGCCGTTAGTTTTTGGAGCCTGCTTCCCATTTGGATCCTAAGAAGGTACGAAGACAGTTTCTTGCCGGAATGTAACAGTTTGATGAAAGAATGAAAGGAGCCAGTAGGGGACGAGGGACACGTCCCAAGGAGGGATCTCTCTAAAGGGTTGGAAGCTGGAACGACTTCCAAAGAAACAAGCAATACCTCTAATAATAATTAAAACCATGACATTTATTAATTGTTTTCTCCGTGGCAGTTACGTGGTACCTGCTTGCCTTGGATTCTACGGATGCTTCTAGCTGCGCGGTCTTGAGCACATCCGTCCTGTTCTCTGTACCCCAGCAATGCATTGTTCCAGGAAAGGCGCCCTGGGTTCCGTTCCTGGGAGACTTCGGGCGAACGGAACCGTAGTTCGGCGCCCAGCGAGGGCGCCCGGAGGCTTTTCGCAGGGACTCTCCCTAGCAACGCGCGCCTCGTTGCTAGGGGCGGAGGCGCAGAAGGCTGCGGAGCGCCAGGACTTCGGACGCCCTCTGGCCTCGCGTCCTGGCTGGCCCTAGGTACAGCTCGGCCAGCCCACGGTGGGTCTGGGGTACAGGCGGGAGAAAGGGGCGCGGCAGGCAGACGTGGAGATGGAAGCCTTCGCGCTCTCTGTCCGCAGCCGCCCACTTGGCCGAAGCCGATGGAGGGCAGCTGTGGACTGGGAGGCTGTAGGTTTCCATTTCTCATTTCTATTCCTATAGATTAAATAATAATAATAATAATAATAAGCTGCAGCCGTCGGTATAATGGCAGAGAGAGGGGGCATTCGTGATCTGAAGAGCCAGAAAGGGAAAGTGCTCACAGGTTGTCCTCAGCCCCGGGAGTTCTGGCCTCGTGCTGCCTACCTGTGTGACTCTGGGCGAGACCATCTAATTCCCTGGGCGGCAAGCTCCCAGATCGGTATCTTTAAGGGTCGGAGCAGACCACCCTTCTGGTGCTTCTGCCGGGGCTTGCGTTTCTCTTCTCGTTGAGCGCTGGTTTGGACAAGGGTAGGCTAGCTGTGCTCAGAGGGAGATCTGGAAGAGGAAGGGAACTAGAAAGCCAGCAGTTGCAGGGACAGTGGACCAGGGATGACCTGGGAAATAAGGTGCAGCCTACGCAGCTCTGCCCTGTGACCTTCAGCGAGTGCCAGCCCTTGCGTCCCCAGTTTCTTGATGGAATCTGACAGTTGGCTATGTAGTGATGTGTGTGGAACACTATTGCACTGGAGAGTTCAGAGCGAATTCTCTGAGTTCCTCTTTAGAGTGACCGCCGGGTGTCTCCAGGCGTCTGGGAAGCAGACTGGACACGAATGGGCCCTGGATTCAGAGTCAGGCCTGGTTTCAGGAGGAAGCAACAGAGACTTCCAGAACCATAATGGGATTCACAGCCCTCCCCAAACCCTCCGCAGGCCTGAGATCTGGGATGACTCCACTCGGGATGATTGCTCCTGTAACGGGACAGTGTGTTGCTGGGTGTTTTAAAGGGCCTTTAGGTGTTTGGGTCTTTTTTTTTTTTTTTTTTAAGATTTATTTATTTATTTGAAAGACAGAGTTGTGCATACACACAGAGAAAGAAAGGGAAATTCTCCATCCACTGGTTCACTCCTCAAATGGATGCAATGGCCAGGGTAGGACCAGGCTGAAGCCAGGAGTTAGGAGCTTCATCTGGGTCTCCCACATGCGTGCAGGAGCCCAAGCACTTGGGCCATCCTCTGCTGCTTTCCCAGGCACATTAGCAGGGAGCTGCATTGGAAGTGGAGCAGCCAGAACATGGACCGGTGCCCATATGGGACGCCAGCATCCCAGGCTTAACCCACTGTGCCGCAACGCTGGCCCCAATGTGTTTGTGTCCTTAAAAAGCTCTCCACACAACACACTCTTCCTCTTAGTATGCCATGCATCCATTCCTGTGTACATTCTGCCAGGCCCTGCTCAAAGCATAGGTATAGAAATGGACAAGACATCGATTGCTCCTCAAGTATATTCCATGTTCATATATAACATGGTGAAAAATAACTGAATAATATTTTCATAGATTATTCTACTGGCCGGCGCCACGGCTCACTAGGCTAATTCTCCGCCTTGCAGCGCCGGCACACCGGGTTCTAGTCCCGGTCGGGGCACCGGATTCTGTCCCGGTTGCCCCTCTTCCAGGCCAGCTCTCTGCTGTGGCCCAGGAGTGCAGTGGAGGATGGCCCAAGTCCTTGGACCCTGCACCCCATGGGAGACCAGGAGAAGCACCTGGCTCCTGGCTTCAGATCAGTGCAGTGTGCCAGCCGCAGCATGCCGGCTGCGGCAGCCATTGGAGGGTGAACCAACGGCAAAAGGAAGACCTTTCTCTCTGTCTCTCTCTCTCACTATCCACTCTGCCTGTCAAAAAAATAAAAAAAAAATAAGTAAAATAAAATATTAAAAAATTTAAAAAAAATAAAAATAGATTATTCTACTCATAATGTTACAAAAAGATAGACATTTTCCAAGTACTTTGTTCCTGGGATTTGTTATTTGCCTTACTGTATTGCATAATGAGTGCTTGCCCCTATTGTGGTCAGTCACTCCGTTCAGGGGATGCAAGTGGCTTGAGTTTAGTGTCCTCCAGCCTCATAGGTCCAGTAGTGTAAGGTCTCTGTGTGGACTAGCTGGTGTGTATGTAATGCACACGTGCACCCCGAGCAGTATGAGTAAGGGTGAAATTGCTGCTTCCAGTGTTACACTGCTAGCGTTGCAGTCGTGCTGGTAACTGCCATGGATTATTAACAGTTGGCTGGGGGCTTCAGGGCACTAGCACTTGTAGATGTGCAGCATAGCAGTGTCTGTGGAATGGGACTGCCTGGATTAGATTAGAGTTTTAACTCTGCAACTTACTTGCGGTGTAAATTAGAACAAGTTCTGTAATGCCTCCTAGCTCATTTTTCTCATCTGCAAAATGGTATGTAACGGACACATACTGGTGTGTATAAAGAATCTAACAGCACCTACCAGTACCTCAGAGCCTTTTGGAATAGATGACATGAGTGAGTACAAAGTACCAGGAGCAGTTCCTGGCACATGTTAGGTGCTAGTTCTGGCTCACAGACGTCAGTGATAGAGTTACTCTCCCATTTTACACGTAAGAATCCGAGGCTCAGGGAGGTTAAGCAGCTTGCCCAAGGACACAGTGGGACTGTAATTCAGACTAGGAGACTAGTCCTAATTTGGATACTAATGCACTTAAATGTTGTTTGCGCTATTCTGTACTACTTTTCTTTAAAGAAAGAATTATTTTATTTATTTGAAAATCAGTTACACAGAAAGAGAAGGAGAGGCAGAGAGAGAGAGAGGTCTTCCCTCCACTTGTTCACTCCCCAAATGACCACAATGGCCAGAGCTGAGCTGATCTGAAGCCAGGAGCCAGGAGCTTCCTCCAGGTCTCCCACACAGGTGCAGGGGCCCAAGGACTTGGGCCATCTTCTCTTGCTTTCCCAGACCATAGCAGAGAGCTGGATTGGAAGTGAAGCAGCTGGATCTCGAACCAGTACCCAAATGGGATGCCAGCAATGCAGGCTGTGGCTTTAACCCACTGCGCCACAGCGCCAGCCCCTCTGTACTACTTTTATTTCTCAATAATAAGGACTTCTTTGGGGGTAGGCATTTGATGTGGAGCAGCGAGGACTAAACGTGTGCTTTAATGTAGGAGGCCAGCACTGCAGGCAGTGGCTGAACTCCCTGTGCCGCAGCAATGGCTCCCGGAAGTACTACAGTATCAGTAAAAGCAAAATGTTGAATGGTGCATTTAAATCTATTTTGTATGTTTAAAAAGAGATGTGTAGTTAACATTGTTGTATACTTTCTCTAATTGTTGAAAATAATGATAGTTATAAAATCTTGTATTTTTGTTAGATATGTATTTCTTTGTGAAGGAAAACGTCACTTAATCTCTAATTAAACGAGTTCCTTATTTACCTTATAAATCTCGTCAGTGCCAACATATGCTTAGACAGAACGGAGATTAACTGGAGCATCTTTTCACGATTATAGAGATTAGAAGTGGCTGCTGAACTGTTTTCCAAAGGATAAACATTACAAATCATTGACTATGGCAGCTCACTAAGAAGACCCTATTGCTTTGCGGGTAAGTAGTTCTGAAAGTAATCTTTTCTCTAGAATGTCCTAGGACTCCGCTCCATTTGGGAAGCCTGGCTCTCTGGAGATGACAGCTAAGAATCCAATCAGGCTTAGAAGGTCCAGTCCATTTATAGTAGCTGCAATTTCCAGGGACCTAGATCTGTGGATGACATGTGTCTTTAGTGTGATGACAGTGCTGAAAAAAATGGGTTAGTGTGGCATTTAGGAAGCCCCACACCCTCTGTCTATAAATAACACAGGATCCTAAGCTTTTTGAAAATTATTCTGGAATTTTTCCCTCTTAGCACATCTTACATGAGCTGTCCCAGAGAGCTGTACCGAGAGTGGCTGAGCTGGAAGGGACCTAGGATCCCTAGCAAGTGTTTCAGTTTACTCTGCAAGCCTCTCGGGGAAGAAGGAGAATACTGAGGGTCCTTTTCCTTAAGGGACAGATAGTCCACCACAACGCTTTTAGCCTGGCATCCTAATGTTGCAGAACGGGAGGCTGAGGCCCAGAGTGGGGGGCGGAACCACTGACGGATATGCTGACAGGAGGCAGGGCTGGGCGAGAGCTCAGGTTCCGGATGCTAAGCACAGCGCGCTTGCTACTGCGCTGAGCACTGGTGCTGCTTCCCTGTTCTTGTCAGGAGATCAGTTCTGGCAGGTCCTCAAAACAGAGGCAGGCGTTTTCCCGGAAAACTATCTTTAGTACTGAGGGTATGAATGAGAGTCCTGACGTGGTGGTGAGTTTTAGCTGCTGTTCTTTCTGTAGACGGTTCTTTGGAGAACTAAGCTGCTCATGCCCTCAGGAATTCTTTCAGCAGAACCCCAGGAGAATTGGGGACTGGGTACTCCCACCACCCCGTTAACTTCCCTCGGCCCTCTGGCATCTCGGGGAATGGCTGGTGGCAGAGGACACCAGACCTGGAGTAGCTGAGCTGGGGCCCTGGTCCGATTCCTTCAGTCCCAGCCAGTATTTGTGCTGGCCACATTTTAGGCTTTGCTCTTTTTCCTTCTGTTTCATGGAAGAGGACCAGCACAAATGATGTGCTTTGGGGCTGTTTGCTGAGTGAGGGAGCGGATGAGCATCTTTGGACACATCATTTTTTCTCTTTCCTTTTATTTCTAACCTTGTGAATTCCTGCAGACAATGCAAGTAAATCTGGAAACATTTCATTATTATTTTATTCTCATAAATATCATCAAGTATTAACGTTATTTAATTTCTAGGTCAGTAGCTGTCAAGCTTTTTAAAATTAAAAAAAAAATTTTTTTTTGACAGGCAGAGTGGATAGTGAGAGAGACAGAGAGAAAGGTCTTCCTTTGCTGTTGGTTCACCCTCCAATGGCCGCCACGGCTGGCGCACTGTGGCCGGCGCACTGTGGCTGGCGCACCGCGCTGATCTGAAGGCAGGAGCCAGGTGCTTCTCCTGGTCTCCCATGGGGTGCAGGGCCCAAGCACTTGGGCCATCCTCCACTGCACTCCCTGGCCACAGCAGAGAGCTGGCCTGGAAGGGGGGCAACCACGAAAGAATCCAGCGCCCCGATCGGGACTAGAACCCGGTGTGCTGGCGCTGCTAGGTGGAGGATTAGCCTATTGAACCAGCCTTAAAAAAATTATTTACTTAAGGGCCAGCATTGTGGTGTAGTGGGTGAAGTTGCTGCCTCCAGTGCCAGCATCCCATGTGGGCGCCAGTTCAAGTCCGGGCTGCTCCACTTCCGATCCATCTCTCTGCAATGGCCTAGGAAAGCAGTAGAAGATGGTCCAAGTCCTTGGGCCCCTGCACCCATGTGGGAGACCCAGAAAAAGCACCTGGCTTCGGATCAGCACAGCTCCGGCAGTTGCGGCCAATTGGGGAGTGAACCAGCAGCTGGAAGACCTCTCTCTCTCTCTCTCTGCCTCTCCTTCTCTCTCTGTGTAACTCTGACTTTCAAATAAATAAATAAATAAATAAATCTTTAAAAATATTTATTTATTAATTTGAAAGTCAGAGTTACACAGAAAAGGGAGAAACAGAGAAAGATAGATCTTCCATTCACTGGTTCACTTCCCAAATAGCCAGGGTTGGGCCAGGCCGAAGCCAGGAGCCAGGAAATTCTTCCAGGTCTCCCACATGGGTGCAGGGGCCCCAACACTTGGGGCATCTTCTGCTGCTCTCCCAGGTGCATTAGCAGGGAGCTAGATCGGAAGTGGAGCAGCCCGGACTGAAACCCGTGCTAATCCCTTGCCCTATGGCACTGGTCATGGAAGCTTTTTTTCCTTTTTTTTTTTTTTAAGACTTATTTTATTTATTTGAAAGGCAGAGTTAGAGAGAGGAAGAGAAATCTTCCATCTGTTGGTTCACTCCCCAAATGGCTGCAACAGCCAGGTAAGGCTGGGCCAGGGTGAAACCAGGAGCCAGGAGCTTTATCCAGTCTCCCATGTTGGTACAGGGGCCTAAACACTTGGGCCATCTTCTGCTGCTTTCTCAGGTGCATTAGCAGGGAGTGTATCAGAAGTGGAGCAGCCAGGACTCGAACTGGTGCCCATCTGGGATGCCGGCATTGCAGGTGGCAGCTTTACCTGCTATGCCACAACACCGGCAATGAGCCTTTTTTTTTTTTTTAAGATTTATTTGAAAGTCAGAGTTACACAGGGAGAGAAGGAGAGGCACAGAGAGAGAGAGGTCTTCCATCCGCTCCCCAAATGGCTGCAATGGCCAGAGCTGTGCCGATCTGAAGCCAGGAGCTGGGAGCTTCCTCCAGGTTTCTCATGTGGGTGCAGATGCCTAAGGACTTGGGCCACCTTCCACTGCTTTCCCAGGCCAAAGCCGAGAGCTGGATTAGAAGTGGAGCTGCTGAGACGCACTGGTGCCCGTATGGGATGCCAGCACCACAGGCAGTGGCTTTACCTGCTATGCCACAGCGCCGGCCCCTGTCTTTTTTTTTTTTTCCTTTTTTAGAAAAGATTTATTTATTTGAAAGGCAGTTGCATAGAGAGGGAGAGAGAAGAAAGAAAGAATGGGAGAGAGAGAGCAAAAAAAAAAAAAAGAGAGAGACAGAGACAGAGAATCTTCCATCTACTGGTTCACTTCCCAAATCTGCAATGGCCAGGGCTGGGTCAGGTGAAGCCAAGAGCCAGGAACTCCAAACGGGTTTCCAATGTGGTTGCAGGGTCCCAAGGACTTAGATTATCTTCTGCTGCTTCCCCAGGCACGTTAGCAAGAAGCTGGATTGGAAGTGAAGTAGCCAGGATTTGAACCAGCGCTCATCAGGGACACCAGCATTGCAGATGCCACATCACTGGCCTCAGCTGTCAGGGTTTTTGGCTAAAATTTCATTTCACTCTTAAAAAAATTATTGAGGATTCCAAAAAGCTTTTGTCTATGTAGGTTATAAATTGGGGACAGATTTCTTCCATTTGAGATTAAAACTGAGACATTTAAAAAATATTTATAGTTGGTCCTCTACCTCCATGTGTTCCATGTCCATATATTCAACCAACTGTGGATTGAAAATATTTGAAAAAAATGAACATATCTTGACTTTTTTCTTGTTATTCCTTAGTCTAACAGCTAGTTCCATAACACTTACATTATACTAGGTATTATGAGTCATACATATTAGGTACCATAAGTCACTGGAGAGGATTTAAAGTGTACAGGAGGATGTGTGTAGGCTATGTGCAAGGCTATGCCATGTTACAGATGAGAATTGAGATTTTGCTGTCCGTGGGACCCTGAGACCCATCCACTGTGAACACCAAGAGGTAACTGCGCTTACTAATTTATCACAATGATAAGTCTACTCTATTTTAACATAAATAGCGTAATTTTACAAAAAATAAAACAAAAGCAAATTAGTTAGAATGGCATTACTTTGCATTTTGCACATCTGTTTAATATTTGGCTTAAACACAAGACCCTTGTGTTCTCGTATGTGCTTTGCGTTCAGTTCATTGCACTATATTGTTCGGAGTAAAGTAGAACAAAAAAATCAGGTCTTGGCAAGAGACATAGCTGGAGAAGAGGAGCCCTCCTGGGCTCCCTGGAAAGCTCTCGGGGATCTCCCCGCGTCCGCAGATCCCACAGGGAGAACTGCCAGTCTTGGTCATGACTGACATGGTCTCCTGTAGCGTCATTGTGTCTAGCGCTTCCTTCTTGTTACCCAGTCGCTCCATGATCTTGGTGCTCGGATTTAAGGCAGCACCTCAATGAAAGTGTTTAAAAACATCCAGCAAGCAAGGAAGGCTGCAGCCTTTTAGAATAACCAAGGCTCTCTAGTTTGAGCAGCTTTACCAGTGTAAATTATTTTGTATGTCAATTACATGTATTTTATTGTAGAATGCATGTAAGATTTGCCATCAGTGATACTGAATGCATAGACGGGGCTTTGCAACCATCACTACTGTCTCGTTCCAGAACATTTCCATCACCCCAAAAGGCAATTTCTGTACTTATTAAGTAGTCGCTCCCCATCCTCCTCCTCACCCAGCTCTTGACAACCACTAGTCTGTTTTCTTCCTCTGTAGATCTGCCAGCTATGGACACTTCTTATAAATGGAATTATATTTTTCTGCGACTCGCTTCTTTTGCTTAGCGTGCTGTTTTCCAGGTCCATCGTGTACCAGTATTTAATGCCTGTTCGTGGCTGATTAATACCCATTGCATGGCTAGATCAGAGTTTGTGCATTCCTCCACTGATGGGCAGTCGAGTTGTTTTCCCCTTTTAGCTGGGAACTGTGCTACCAGGAACATTTATGGACAAAATTTTGTGTGAACATTTGTGTTCAGTCCTTTCGCCTGGATGTCCAGGAGCAGGATTGCTAGATTGTGTGTTTAACTTATTGAGGAGCTGCTTAGTATTTTTTACAATTAATTTTTTTGTTTATCTGTTGGTGTTTTATTGGAGGCTACAGTCCCAGGGCCAGAAGAGTGAAGAGGAAAAGCAAATGCATATAATTAGCCTTTTTTTTTTTAACACATCTCCAACAGATTTATTTTTTAAAGGAATGAATTGAGAGAAAAAACATGGGGAAGACAAGTATGGAACAGAAAATAAATATAAATGTAAGCTGTTTGGCTAACAATTAGCCTTTTTTTTTTTTTAAAAAAAAAGGGATTTGTTTTTAATATAGCTAAACTACCATTATTGTGCTTCACAAAGTGAACGGTACGTAATCTTTTTCCTAAACAGGGACCACAGCTTTCAGAAGCAGCCGCAAGGGATGCTGTTACGCAGGTGCCAACCAAAACAAAGCCCACCTCGGGAGGTTTTCTGTAGGCTCTGCACCAGGATGGGGAAACTGCAAAGCAAACTCAGACACAGTACCTGTAACAAATACAGGTACGGCGCTCCCACCCCGGCAGCCCGGGTTTACCTTGCCCCGTCCCAGCCCTCCGCTAGGGAAAGGAAGGCCCGGAGGGAGTATTGATGGCCTCCCTGAACCGCTGGGTCTGTTTTCTCTTGGATAAGAACCAGTCAGCTCAGTAGCCCGCGCAACCTGCGTCCGCTCCCACGCGTGGAGGGGCTGCGCATCTTTGGAATTAGCCTCTGGTGGCCGCAGGGACTCCTGGCTTCAAGACTCGGCTTTATCAGACGCCAATCACTCAGTCATCCTGGGGTTTTCCGAGCAGATAGTACCGCTGCTCGCCATGTCCGTGGGTCTCCTTCTCTGCTGCGTTTCCCTTTACCTTAGGCCACACAGTTCCTCCCCTCCTTCCCCCGTCCACTCCTGGGCCACGGGGCCTCTCATTTCCTATCCTGTCGTCAGCAGGCCCGATGGAATTACGGAAGAGAGAGTCCAGACGAAAGCATGTCCAGAGTACAGCCCTGCTCACACAGACGCCGTCTCTGCCGTCGCTGCTCTGAGCTCAGACGTTTGTGTCTCCGGAGGAAAAGATAAGGTGGGGTTTGCAGGAAGCCAGCTGGCTGCAGGGAAGAGAAAACACTTTTCCAGGAAGCCTGGGTTTTGTATTTCTCGCAGCAGGGCTGATGGGGGCGAGAAATGCGGCTTTAGAGTTTAGAATCCTGCTCTGCCCGTTCCTGTTACTCCGGGCAAGGCTTGACATATTTTGAGCTTGCGTCTCCGTACCTGTTAAGTGGGGTAACAGTGGCAGCCTTAGTATTAATGACGGTTGTGACGATCACCCGAGAAGACAGCGCTAAGAGCCTAGTGCTGGGCCAGACCAGACCACCCCCTTGTGTTTTATGATGGCAAGCATCTTTATTCCTGCTGCTCCCTTTTTACACCTGCACACAGACACCGAAGTTATGTGTCAACGAAAGGAACTTTCTAGTCTCTTCTGTGCCGCTCTTTGGACAAACATCTCTAACCGTGTGCATCAGGATTCCTTCTTTTTATATTTTTGCCCTTCTTACGTTGTCATTTGACGCTGATTGCCTTTTCTCCTTCGTATCTGGGTCTGTCATAGCACTCTCAGCTACGATATTGCTAGCAAACATGCTGATCCTTTTTGTAGAGATTAATCCTAATAATGCCTCTCGTTTTCATTAGGCTTTGGAATCTCCAAGTTCTACTTGCATAGTAATGTATTTCACGGGTTCCATGACGCACAGGTTTTCACTCTAGCACCTCTGAAATCAGGATGCGTCTAAGTATCAGTTTAATTGTCAGCATTTTGTCTTAATATCTGGATCATCGTAGATGTAAATATTTTTATTTCGTGCAGTGCTTCCATCTCTGTGAGGGTAGATAGGGCAAGGATCATCCTGTCCATTATGCAGATTGGGAAGCTGGTATTTAGGTCAAGCACAGCAGGGTCTGAGTCCATTATGATAGATAACTCCATGCTCTCCAGCAATGAACCATGGAGACCAGCTGGAAGAGGCTTTGAAAATCCTGTTTAGGGAGAGAAATGCTTACAGTAAAATATTCGAGTGTACACCTGAGAAAGGCAGGAAAACTTTAGCAATGATTCTCTGTGGCAGATGGGATTATGGGTGAGTTCTTTCGTAAAACAACTGTGAAGTGTGCTCTGTTTCACAACAGTGCGAATCTACTTAACGGTACTGATGAGCCGAACACTTTAAAATTGAAATGACCAATTCAAAGACAACTGAAAAAGTACACTCCAGGTTTGTGTTTGGCTCAACAGTTAAGCTACTGCTTGGGATACCCATATCCCATTTGGGAGTGCCTGGGTTTAAGTCCTGACTGCCCCCTCTAGTCCCGTGTCCTACTAGTGAACACCCCGGGATGCAGCAAATGGTTGGATCCCTGCCACCCCCTTGGAGACCTGAACAGTTTTAGACTCCTGGCTTTGGTCTGGTTCGGACCTGGCCATGCTGGCATTTGGGGAGTGAGCCTGCAGATGGGAGATCTCTCTCTCTTTGCCTTTCAAATAAAGAAAATAAATAAAAAGTTAAAAGAAAAAGAAGTAGGGGCCGGCACTGTGGCATAGCTGGTAAAGCTGTCACCTACAGTGCTGGCGTCCCATATGGGCGCCAGTTCGAGACCCAGCTGCTCCACTTCCAATCCAGCTCCCTGCTAATGCTCCTGGAAAAGCAGTGGAGGATGGGCCAAGTCCTTGGGCCCCCGCACCCGCATGGGCAACCTGGAAGAAGCTCTGGGCCCCTGGCTTCAACCTGGCCCAGCCCCAGCTGTTGCGGCCATTTGGGGAGTGAACTAGCGGGTGGAACATCTCTCTCTCCCTCTCCTTCTCTCTTTGAAACTCTGCCTTTCAAATAAATAAAAAAATAAATCTTAAAAAAAAAAATGCAGCAACGGGAGGTGTGGTGCCGAATGGGTAAAGGCTGGTTTCATTAGGTAAACACTTAAGGGAGTGATTGAACTGAAATATTCTAATGCCTCTCCCAGACAGTGGTGGCCTATAATTGGAAAACTGGAAATGTGGTGAAAAGGTTCAAAGGACATGAACGTGAAATCACCAAGGTAATTGTCAGATGATTATTGTTATGCATTCCATGTGTGTCTGTCTCATGGGCTAGACTGTCTTCAAGGGGGCTGGGATATCTGAATTTATAGCTTAGCATAGAACCCACCCAACAATATAAAGGTGTTATTATTAAGGGAGAATAATGAGTACACTACTTGCACTGTAATGATATACCGCATAAAGAGGGGAGAATAGCACAACATGGAGAAAAAAGTGGAAATTTGAACTGAATGGGTTTCCCATTCATAGATTCCAAATGTGGGCATTTGAAAAAGTGGGTATGGGAATGTTTGGCCTAGCAGTTGTAATGTGAGGTTGGGATGTCTGAACCCCATATGGAAGAGCAGGGTTTGAGTTCTGACTTCTCACCCGATTCCAGCCTCCTGCTGATGCGGACCCTGGGGAACAGCTCAAGTAGTTGGGTCCCTGCTACCCACGTGGTAGCCTTGGATTGCGTTCCTAGCTCCCAGCTTCTGCATGGCCCAGCCCCAGCCACTGAGGCCATTTGGGGGATGGGAGCTCCCTTTCTCTGCCTGCCTCTGTCTCTGTCTCTGTCTCTCTCTCTACCTCTCAAATAAATAATTTTTTTTCTATAAAGTGGGTATGGGGCACGAGTTAAGCAAAGCCACCATTTTCATTTTCAAGCCTAAAGCTACAAGCACACAATCAGAGTGACTTCTGGCTTGGTTTTGGTTTCCCCTGAGCAGGTAGCCTGCATTCCCAAATCAAACCAGTTCTTCAGTGCCTCTCGAGACAAGATGGTCATGATGTGGGACCTGCATGGCTCCGTGGAACCCAAGCAGCAGCTGTCTGGCCATGCCATGGTGGTCACCGGCTTGGCTGTGAGTCCAGGTAGAGTAAAGTAGATCTTCTCCCAACAGCTCTGGGCTTCCCCTGCAGCCCTGTGCAAGCCCCATCTCATAGGCTGTATTCTTGCCATTATTTCCAAAGACTCGTCACAGCTGTGCACTGGCTCTCGGGACAACTCCCTGCTTCTGTGGGACGTGAGGACTGGACGGTGTGTGGAGAGAGCATCTGTCTCCAGGAACCTGGTATGAACTCAAGTTTGGCACAGGGCAGGGCAGCGGAAGAGAGCATGAGACAGGGAAGGAAAGGGCTTGGGAGAGAGATCAGGAGACCCACAGCAGGCAACAGAGCCTTGGGTCCTACCTGCTGCCTCCCTACAGCCTTCTGTGAGACCCTGGTCTCTTGGGATTATTGGGTAAGATGACCCAGCAGATCCTGCCACTGGTTTATATTGGGTTAGTGAGCCAGGACAGTTCCTGTCTTCCAGGGGCTCACAGCTAATGCTGCTGTGTGTTTTTCATATGCCACATCGTGCAGAGAAATAACCTTACCTTGTGCTTTGTGTATAATTTGCTCTGTGTTTGAACAGCAGCCGTGTCTGGTAGCAGATTGATATTTAAAATGTTTAGCCTTTGGGGTGTCAGTCATGCCTGGCATCAAATGATGGCTGCATCACTTGTTAGCGGTGTACCCCAAGAAAAGAGCCTTAGGCTCTTAAGAGTTTGTGTCTTCATTTATAAAATGGGGACAGCTGTATCGTCTGATAAGGCTCAGAGGGTGAAAGGAGATACTATAAGTGAGACGCCTGCCGTTACGCCTGGCGCACGGTAGCTGTTCCTTTAGGAGCTGTCCAATTTCGTCATAATCATCTTTTCTGATTTCAAAGACGACTCTCCGTGGCAGGATGTGCTTGCCCCCTGCCTTCCATATTTGTGGAGGTTGTTGGAAGAAAAGAAAATCCTGTTACCTGGGTTGTTCAGAGAACTCTTCCATGTCCTGCAGTCGGGGCTCAGGGTTAAAGAGGACCCTCCCTCTCTTCCTGCTCCCGTGAGCTTAGAGCTCCAGGGCTCTCAGCTTAGAGAGGGGCTGCCACCTGGCCAGCAGTTCTCTGCCACCTTGCTGGGGCCTCAGGGACTCTGCCCCAGCTGCGACCATTGCTTCCGAGGCACAGCAAAACTGATCGGCATCCACAAAACATGAAACCACTCTAAGCCAAACTTGCCAGCTCTACATCCCCGAGAAGAGGCAGAGATGGTATTTAGCAGAGTTTATGGGCAGTACAGCGGAGGAATGACTGCTATGGGGATGTTTTAAGAAGTGTGCTTTCTGCAGGTCACACACCTGTGCTGGGTCCCCCGGGAGCCGTGTATCCTGCAGACCTCTGAGGATAAAGCCATCAGGTGGGCTCACTGAGCAGTGGCGAGGGTGGTCCTGGTGAAGGCTGTGGCTCCCATGCTCACGGGACCGTTCCCACTCAGCTTCTCCGCACTGCTGGGTGCTTCCCACGGCCTCCCGTGCTAGGGCCTCCCTGATCAGGTCCCCTGGGTTCGAGGTTGGATGCCAGGCGATCAGCCCAGAAGGAAGCCCCAGTTCTTGATGCTGTTGAATCCACTGATCCGGCCCCCGCCCGCTGCGCCAGTGCGCTCGCTCAAGCCCGGGGTCAGTCACTGGCTTGTCCCACCCCGAGGCCGCCTGGCTGTGCTTGCTCCGCCTCCCTCACTGCTGGTGTTGGTGTGCTCAATCACCAGTCCTTGGCGGGAGCCCTCCCAGGCCAAGCAGGGGGTGGGGGTCAGCCTCCCGGGAGTCAAATGACGCCAGTAGTTCTTAGATGGAGAACACGACTAGGAACTTTGGACCTCAGAGGAGATCCTACGTAACGATAAGAATGGTAGGATAAAGGGATTAAAAAAAAAAAGCTCCCAGTCTACCAGGCACAGAAATATCCTGTCATTAAAGAAATGCCCTGAAGGATTAAATTAGTAAGTTAACCTCTGCCGTGGAGGCACTTGGTCTGAAATCCTATTAACTGATCTCAAAATAGAAAGAACTCCGATGTCATTCACTTTGCTACCCTCTTAACAGCTTTAGATCTCGTCTCGGACGCTGGTGTGGCTTAGAAGGCGTGACATCCCACTGTGGCTGCCCTAGGCAGCCAGGAGCCGAGGCCTTCACATTAGCAGGAGGGGCAGGAGCGTCTCAGACACATTTGCCCAAGCTCATTTCTGCTTCGCCCTCTTTCAGGTTATGGGACAGTCGAGGGCTGCAGGTGGCTCACGTGTTTCCAGCCAAGCAGCACATTCAGACGCACTGCGCAGTCAGTGGGGACGGACACACGTGCATCTCCTGCAGCAGCGGCTTCGGCGGGGAAGGCTGCGAAGCCACGGTAATTGTGCGGGTCCAGGTGTCTGGTCGCTAATGAGCAGGTTACCGCCTCTGGCCTCCTGCTGTTAGAGGGACTACACAGGCTCCGCTCCGCCAACAGCTCAGGCCAGTTTCAAGTGTGTCCTGGGAGTGATCCTTTGCATGTCCATTAACCTGGGGCTCTCTGAATAGGTAGCAGACAAGAGGACTGGGCTGACAGTGAAGAGAGGGCAAAGCCGGACACAGAACCAGCTTGCTGCTGGCACAGCTTAGGAGAGGGGCTGCTTGAAGAACCAGATCCATTCCCACTGCACAGGTGGCCACAGTAAAGGAAGTTCCACTCTTTAGGAAACGGGGCCCTCCCCGGCCCGTCTCGCACTCTCCCCGCAGTTCACTCTCAGGACGGGTTGCCGAGGCTGCTCCCCAGCACCTTACCTCCGCACTCGTGGAGTGTCAGCCAGCAGGAGTGTCTGGTGTCCTAATAGGACAGCTACAGCCCCCATTCTGTCACGCGCTTATCACGTGCCAGACACTGCGCTGAGCACACTACACACTTTCCCATGTAGTCCGCAAACCCCGTGAGTTGTATTCTGTTAGAATTCCCATTTTACAGATGAGGAAATAGAGGCATGGCAGTTGAAATCTCTCGCACAAGACCACCCTGGCAGGTGGTGGATTGGGGGCTGCAGGCTTTGGATGTTGCATCTCTTCTCCAAACTAAGCGTTTCCGGCTCCTACAGCCGGAAACTATTCCTTGAGTGACATGCTCTCCAGCGACTTCATTGTTTTTTGGACACAGTTGCATGAATACTGTTCTACAGGGGTGGTCTGATCTGAATCAGTAAGGGTGGGCTGGCAGGACCCTCGCTCCCCTTGGTGAAGACACTAGGTGCTAAATCACATGTCAGTAGCTCTGTGTACTATGAGAAGGTGCTCTTAATCTTGGGGTCCCCACAGATGCCAAGAGCTGATTTAAGGAAGCTCTTGAGTTGTCTTGGGAAGCAAGTGTTACTCCGTCATGCTGTAGGCCAGGGAGCTGTTACTTCCCCAGCCGGGACTCGGGCAGCAACCCTTCCATCGTATCCTTAACCAGGGCTGTCTGGGACATGGCTGATGCGAAAGTAATCGCTGGATGTGTAGGTGGTTGGGTGTACGGGATGGGAAAGGTAAGGCGTCCATATAGCAGTGGGGGCAGGGGCGGGGGCATGAGTACAATGCACAAAGCATGCGTGGTGCTCAACCTGTGTGATGAGCTGGCTCCTGTTGCTTTGCAGTTGTGGGACCTAAGGCAGACACGGAACAAAATATGTGAGTATAAGGGACATTTCCAGACTGTTGCTTCCTGTGTCTTTCTACCAAGAGCACTGGCCCTGATGCCTGCAATTGCTACCTCATCCCATGACTGCAAGGTGAAGATTTGGAACCAAGATACTGGAGGTAAGGAACCTGCAGCCAGACTCTCTCCTTCAGCTCTGGCTAGAAGCCATCACTGTGTGTCCCCTGGTGCCATGATGTGTAGACACGTTCCTAAGGGCTCAGATGTGTTTAGTTCTTATGCCTCTCCTACCTGAGCCTCCTTGTCCGTGTCTGGGAAAGGGAATAGGAATTCCCTCGGCGCCCGGTGGGGTGGGAGGAAGCGAGGCTCGTCCAGACCCGGCCCTGTTCTGACTCTGTAGGAGAACTTTCAGGTCACCACAAGGTCACGGCGCTTCAGAGCACCAGGAAAGGTGATGTCTGTGGCACTGACTCCCCAGAGGCCTCGAGACTGGAGCCAGCCCCTACTGGCCAGCCACTAATTATTCAGAAATTGTTCAAGCTGGTGTTAAACCTTTGTTAGCTTAAAATATGCTCATGGTGGGACTGTTTACTGCCCCCTTGACACAGGGTTACACCAGAGACAGGGATAGCATTAATTTAGAGAACTCCAAGCCAGATCGGTCCTATAGCAATCCTCCAGAAAATTCAGCCACCACCACCCCCCCATCCCCCTCCGGGGGAGGTGAGGACAGGGTGGGACCGTGGGCAGTGGCACTTTGCAGATGGCTGCAGCCACAGGCAGACGTCCCCAGTAAGACAGCGTGCTGTCCCCTTGCCTGGAGCTGGCTGCTGGAGCTGCCCGGGTGTAACGGCTGCAGGTGGGCGGGGAGAGCTGATGTTAATGACCGTGGCCTAAGGCCAGCAAGAACCAGCTCTGAAACATTGAGCTGACGGCATGGCACCCGTGCCCTGCCAACTGTGGGTGCACCTGACATCCTTGGCAGAGGTGGAAGGAGACTGAGTCAGCTGGAAACCCATGAAGACCACCCTGCAGGTACCCCATCCTCCTTTATCTTGAAGAGAGCTAGCGGCTGCAGGTCGGTCTCCTTAGCTATTTTCCCTGCCCTGGTCGCTGCCTGTTCTCTGGGCAAGAAATGGAGGGCACCTTTTCAGCATGGCCCTTGTGCAGTAAACAGCCTGTTTGGCCTGGGTACCACCCTCTGCTGTAGACATTGTGGGGTTGACCCAAGTTCTGACTTCCCCATGGGTGCGCTTTCCTTTGAGCAGGCGGGGCCTCTCTTACGTGGTTAGATTCACCTTGTGTGCAGCGCTCGCTTTATTTCCTTGCATGGCTCGTGAAGACCTTGTGTTTCAAAATACAGTCAGGCACCATATAATGGCACTTTGGCTAAAAACAGACCCCGTATATAATGGTATTTACCATATAACCTAGGTGTGTAGTAGGCTACACCTACACTCCATGATGTTCGCACAATAAGGAAAGCACCTGATGGTTCATTTCTCAAAATGTGTGTGCCTCTCCCCTGCCAAGGGTTAAGCCGTGGGTGATGTGTTGTCCTCCGGGCCTAACCTGCTGGCTCCGCTCTCCTTCCCCAGCCTGCCTGTCCACCTTGCCTCTGGATGGATCGGGGCCTTTGACTTCCCTGGCCGTTGGTGACACCGTCTCCTTACTGTGTACAAGTTTCAACAGAGGAATTCACTTACTCAGAGTGGACCGCAGCCGAGGACTCGAACTGCGGGAAGTGGCAGCGTTCTGAGACCGAGAGACTCCCTGGACAACAGCGGACCACGGCCCGCCTTCCCCAGTGTGGCGTTGTCTTTTCCCAGTGGGCTGGGGGGAGCAGGTGTAGGGCTGCAGGTCTTTGCTGGTGTTCAGTTGGGCGTTAGATCAGTGGTAGGAGTCGTCTGAGGTCCTGTGGTTCACAATCAGGTATCGAGGTACGAAGCCTGGACCTAATTTTGGGATTACTCTTCAAAACGCTGACCTGTGGGTGTTAAGAGTGGTCGGCCTCTGTCTGAGTCAGCGTGTACGGCCTGAGTCTGTTACTCTGTAAGATGAAAAAAGGTGAAAGCTAATCGGGATGGGGCCTCCATGGAGGAAATGGGTTGTAAACAAGGAGTTTAAGCGATAGTCGCTGCCTGCCAGCAATGGGGAGAATCAGAGTTAGGGCAAGAAAGCGACAGCCTTGGCTCCACTCCAAGTCTTATAGTGGTATACTGCTCCTGGTATGTTCCTAGACCGTGCTGGTGAGCTTGCAGGAAAGGACGCCCTCAGATGGCTTGAAGGGGCCGACAAGTTCAAGGGCATTGCTGAGAATTATAGGAGTTACCAAACCTGTTCCATGGAGAAGAAAATGCAGAAGCTCAGGGATTACGGCTAAAAAAAGAGTTCATTTGCAATGTTAATACTTTTTTCTCTAGTGAAATATTAATTCCCGGGCACGGCCAGAGTGAGACAAAGGAATCTCTGAAATGCCGTAGAGACATAAAGAAAGGGGTGAAGTCAACTAACTGTGCCAGCACTGAGCCCCTTCCGAGAAGGAGGGCCAGGGTGCTCAGGGCTGCCCGCGTGCCCCTGCAGGCAGCCCCCAGCCTGGTGCTCAGCAGCTCCCCCCGCCACCTTCAGACAAACCCCGACACGAGGCAGCCGAGGCCAGGAGAGTCCCAGCCAGGGGCGGCTTGGGTTTGTCTTCCCTGGTCCCAGCAGCCACAGCCACCCGCCTTGTCCCCCTCCTGCTCCTCCTTGAGCCCCAGGGATGGGCAGTCACCCCTGAGCGTGAATCTCCACACCTCCATGTAGCTGGCTGATCTGGGACAGGCTGTGGGGTCGCAGTTCTCTCACTGGAAGCCCTCGGGGGACTGGGCAGAGCTGTAGTAGATGCCAGGCAGGGCAGTGGCTGCTGACTGGCAGCCCGAGCTAATTATTCTCCTCTCTGTCCAAGCCACGGTGTCTTGTCCACACTGCCATCTGCCGGCCCTTCACCCATCCTTCCTGCATTGCATTCTCCGTCCTGTCTGTCATTGTTCATCCTGCCTTTGAACTCTTCAGCTGTGGCTCTTTGAGCTCTGGAAGGGGGGAGAACTAACAGGAGAGGAAGTGACGTCATCGAGCACCAGCGAGGGCTAGTACCTGTATTCTCTCTGCAGTTCTTGGTATTTCCGCTTCACAGGTGAGGAGACCGAGACCCAGAGGCACGCTCTGAGTCATGCACATGGAAGGGGAGAGCTGAGATTTGCTTCTGGTTCTGCCCGACTCAAAGCCACACCTTTCCCTTTCTGCCTTTGCATTGTGTCACAGACCTTCTCTGTGCATTTTAAAAATGCATAGATGATGGGAGCAGTGCTGTGGCGAAGCAGGTAAAGCCACCGCCTGCAGTGCCGGCATACCATATGGGCACCGGTTCCAGTCCCGGCTGCTCCACTTCCACTAAGGCCTGGGATAGCAGTAGAAGATGGCTCAAATCCTTAGGCCCCTGCACCCACATGGGAGACCCGGAAGTAGCTCCTGGCTCCTGGCTTCGGATCGGTGCAGCTCCGGCAGTTGTGGCCAATTGGGGAGCGAACCAGCGGGTGGAGGACCTCTCTCTCTCTCTCTCTCTCTGCCTCTTCTCTCTGTGTAACTCTGGCTTTCAAGTAAATAAATCTTTTTTTAAACATTGTTTGTATTTTTTATTTTATTTTATTTTTTTGACAGGCAGAGTGGACAGTGAGAGAGAGAGACAGAGAAAAAGGTCTTCCTTTGCCATTGGTTCACCCTCCAATGGCAGCCACAGCTGGTGCGCTGCGGCCGGCACACCGCGCTGATCCGAAGGCAGGAGCCAGGTACTTATCCTGGTCTCCCATGGGGTGCAGGGCCCAAGCACTGGGGCCATCCTCCACTGCACTCCCTGGCCACAGCAGAGAGCTGGCCTGGAAGAGGGGCAACCGGGACAGAATCCGGCTCCCCGACCAGGACTAGAACCCGGTGTGCGGGCACCGCAAGGTGGAGGATTAGCTTAGTGAGCCGCGGCCTGTATTTTTGAGACCAGTTCTTCACTTCTTGACTCTAAGGGAGTCCCCGGGCCAGGTGCACAGGGGTAGCAGACACGTGTCTCAGGGAAGTTTCTAGCGTGCGCTGGGTTATTAGTGCTGCAGCAGACACTCTTAGAAGAAGGGCAGGCAGCAAGAGAGGAGCTCCGAGGGAGTGGTTGGGAGGGGTCCTGGGGGAGGGGGCAGCCACGGGGGGGGGGGGGATGGGAAGGCACGTTCAAACGAGAACAGAGCAGGTCTCTGGTCAGGTAGGAGGGTTCTGTTGCCAGTGAACTTCCCCAGACTCTGCCTGACGACAGAATTCCTTACCCGCACATTTTTCATTAGAGAAGACATGAAGAAATGCTCGTGTTAGTAGAGCCCCCCCCCCCCCCCCCCCGGTCTGAGAGGCGCAGTGGGATACTCTGAACACCTGACATCCAGGTCGCTAAAATTCACTCCCTGAACTCTTCATGTCAGTGGCTGCCCCTCCAGGCTCACGCAGGTCTAAAGGAATTTTCCAGGGGCAGCTGACGTCTTCCCAGGAAAGCCTTCGGAATATGGTCTATTATATATGCAACATTTTAGAAAACCCTGTACTCACATGGTTATCACTTACATGTATTTATGTGTTTAAGGAAAATAAGTGGTAATTAGTGGCCTTCACTTTGGCCCAGGAATTAGCCGTAAAATGTTGAATTCAGGTCACTTGGCGTTTTTCATCTTCTGTCACTGAGAAAAAAAGAACCTTAACTATTCTTGAGCCGCCTTTCGAAGACATTTAAGCACAGCTTCGTCCTGAGACATGTGGGGACCCTTGGTTGTTTCTCTGCAATTGGCACATCTCCGTGGCACAGGCTGTCCAGCTGCACTCCAGGCCCAGCTAGGCACTCGCGAGAGCATGGCGGGGCGAGGGTGGTGGACGTGATGCGGGTAACCTCCGCAAGCTTGGAAGGAGTGTGCTGGTCCAGGACGGGCCCTCCCCACCGGCCAGAACGCAGACCGCCAAAGCCAGTGTCCGCTGCTCAGCGGCCGTGGCAGCAAGGTGGAGGCAGCGGGGCCCTGAGGAACCCTGAGGGCCGAGCAGCTCCTGCAGACTCGCTGCCTGCCAAGGAGCAGGCGCTGTGCACTCCTGAGGCTCAGCCTCCCAGCCTTTGTGGGTTCTGCTTTCCCCTTTTGCAATGCTGCCTTGAGGTTGCGTCTGGAAGGGGGCCTGGGCCACACGGACAAGAACCGAGCACCCCAAGAACAAGGTCATCGAACAAGGGTACCTTCAGTCTTCCAACCCAGCCAACTCTGCTGCTGAATTCAGGCGTACAGATGATCTCAGGTGCAGCTGGAGGAGAAACCGCATTGCTAACCCACAAAAGCGTGAGAAATACGTCATTGTTGTGTTAAGACGCTAAGCTGTGCAGTGGTTTCCTATGCAACAACAGATTTCAATGAAACAAGCACTCTTATTTTTGGTCAGGCTCCTTTGGCTCAACATGCTGATGAGCTGGATTCATATTCCTGCATGTAGCTAAATACCACTCATTGCTAGATGGGATTCCGCCATGTGGAAATACCATTTGTCCATTCAACTACCGACGGGCATCTGGGTAGTTTCTAGTTTGGGACACCTACAAACAGTGCTGCTAAGAACATTCTAACACGGGTCTTCTGGTGAACATATGCCATGTGTCCCTGTTCACTATGCAGTTAGAAAGGGGCCTGCTGGGCCACAGGGTAATTCACATGGTCAGCTTTAGTAGATGCCACCAAAATATTTTCCCAAAAGGCTGTACCAACTTACTTCCCATCACCCGTGCAACACAGTTAATAGAATTTCCGTTGTCCACACCCTTACTAATACTTTATGCTCTCAAACTTTACAACTCTGTTTTAGAGATGGGTGTGTAGATGGGGAGTGCGCATGAGGGTGTTTGCTCCATGAGCCAACAGAAGCTGGACCAACTGGTTTCCGCTTCTACCCTTCTCCCTGACACCTCCAGTTAAGAGGTAAGAACTTAGAACCTTTGTTTACAGTGCCCTATATTTCACACACTGCTTTCACAACCATCATCTCATTGAGTCTTCCAATAAAATAACACAGATAGGCAGTATGGAGAGTATTCTGCCAATAGAAAGAAAAGTGACTCGCCCAAGGTCACATGGTAGGGGCAGAGCCCAGATGGGAGCTCAGGTCTTGGCAGTGCCAAGTTGGTTCTCCCCACCAAAGCCTTCTACTTTAGATGGCACCCTGCTGGTGGTGAGCATTATAGGCTGAAGTGGGGCTGGCGCTGTGGCTTAGTGGGTAAAGCCGCCACCTGCTGTGCCAGCATCCCATATGAGCGCCGGTTTGAGACCAGCTGCTCTACTTCTGATCCAGCTCTCTGCTATGGCCTGGGAAAGCAGTAGAGGATGGCCCAAGTCCTTGGGCCCCTGCACCTGCGTGGGAGACCCAGAAGAAGCTCCTGGCTTCAGATAAGTGCAGCTCCAGCCGCTAGGCCATCTAGGGAGAGTGCCAGCGGATGGAAGACCGGCCTCCCTCCCTCTCTCTCTCTCTGCCTCTGCCTGTCTGTTACTCTGCCTTTCAAATAAATAAATAGATTTTTTTTTGACAGGCAGAGTGGATAGTGAGAGAGAGAGAGAGAGAAAGGTCTTCCTTTTGCCGTTGGTTCACCCTCCAATGGCCGCCACGGCTGGCACGCTGCGGCCGGTGCACCGCGCTGATCCGATGGCAGGAGCCAGGTGCTTCTCCTGGTCTCCCATGGGGTGCAGGGCCCAAGCACCTGGGCCATCCTCCGCTGCCTTCCCGGGCCACAGTAGAGAGCTGGCCTGGAAGAGGGGCAACCGGAACAGAATCCGGCGCCCTGACCGGGACTAGAACCTGGTGTGCCGGCGCCGCTAGGTGGAGGATTAACCTATTGAGCCGCGGTGCCGGCCAATAAATAGATCTTAAGAAAAAAAAAAAAAGGCTGAAGGGGACAAGTAAGAGGTATTTTCACCTGTGGAATAAGCAATGTAGACTTAAAAAGGAACATCTAATCCATTCCCCAGTGTTGTCTCTGCAGGGCCCAGAACATTAATCCCACCTATGCCAGGTCTTGCACACACATGTTGAAGAGGCCACTGTGGGTGATGGGGGTGGGTGCCAGCTGGTACTGCAGGTCGATGCCCGACTGTCAGTTCCATAACTGGATACGTTTACATGACGAAGAACCACGCGGATGAGGCTTCCTGGAACATTGTCCATGAGTCACCCCAAATACAACGCATCACCATGCAGCATCATCCTATCTGGGTAAAGATGTGTCTGCACCTTCATAGACAAAGGCCTGGGAGGAATATGGCAAAAATATTGGCAGTGTTAAATCTGGGTATTGAGTTTAAAACTGAGTTTATTTCCTACTTTATGCCTTTCTGTATTAATTTTTTAAAGATTTATTTATTTATTTGAAAGTTGGAGTTACACAGAGAGAGAAGGAGAGGCAGAGAGTAACAGAGGTCTTTTATCCACTGGTTCACTTCTCAATTGGCCACAATGGCCAGAGCTGTGCTGAGCCGAAGCCAGAAATCAGGAGCTTTTTTCCAGGTCTCCCACGCAGGAGCAGGGGCTCAAGGACTTGGGCCATCTTCCACTGCTTTCCCATGCCACAGCAGAGAGCTGGATGGGAAGTGGAGCAGCGAGTCTCCAACCGGCGCCCATATGGGATGCCAGCGCTTCAGGTCAGGGCGTTAACCACTGCACCACAACGACCGCCCCTCTGTATTGATTTTTAAACTTACTTTTGAAATGGAGAATATATTCACATAGTCACAAGTGCACAAAAGGTTACACATTAAAAACTCTTGGGGCCGGCCTTGTGGCACAGCGAGTTAAGCTGCCACCTGCCACGCCAGCATACCCTATCAGAGTGACCATTCAAGTCTCAGCTGCTCCACTTCCCATCCAGCTCCTTGCTAATGCACCAGGGAAAGCAGCAGAAGGTGGCCGAGATGTTTGGGTTCCTGACACCCACATGGGAGACCTGGATGGTGTTCTGGGCTCCTGACTTCAACCTCACCCAGCCCTGGCTGTTGCAGCCATTTGAGAAGTGAATAAGCAGATAAAAGATCTCTCCCTCTCCTCTCCTTCTCCTCTCCCTCTCTCCTGTCACTGTTGCAGTTATTTGAAAAGTGGACAAGCAGATGCAAGATCTCTCCCTCCCCCTTCCCTGTCTCTCTGCCTTTAAAAGAGATAAATCAGACCCTGCCCTCCTCCCTTGTCTGCCTTCCCTCTGGCTCCCTCTGGAGGCAACAGGTGTGACCAGCAACCGGTTTATCCCATCAGAGAGATGTTATGTATTTACAAGCAAATGTGTGTATTTTCGTATATCTTTATACAACCAAAAGAGGATAAGACTGTCCACTTTAAAGAAGAGGTTTAGCAGGCTATTTTGTGTTGTAGGAAGGTGATTATGTGGAAAAAAAAGAGGCCACAAAAATGGTCCATAGAATGCAACTGGAAACCATTATGCTTGGTGAAATAAGCCAGTCCCAAAAAGACAGATTCCATCTGTTTTCCCTGATCAGGGCTAACCAATAAAGCACCTGAAATGTGATGTTTTGGAGTGAAATGGACATTTTGAGATTCGATGGTTGTGTACAGCCCTTGTCTCTTC